CCCCAAAACCCCAAAACCCCAAAACCCCTAGTAATGATTTGACCCTTGAACATTTATATTAATAAATATATACAACTCACCAAAGTTTAATGGGATCAAAAGCTCATTCCAAGAAACTGTTTAAGAGAAAGAAGACTCTTGGTCAGAAGATCTTTAATAGTGTCAAGTCTTTCGATATGTACGGGAAAGACATAGTTCTAACTTATGATGGAGAAGACAAGTACAGGACTCATATTGGAGGAATCGCCTCTATTTTTGTATTTGGTATTGTGTTCACGTACATTATTTACTTGGTTCATGTTATGCTCACCAAGGGTGATACAACTTTTATTAAAACATCTTTATTGAACGATCTTTATGAAAATGTTGAATTCCATTCGCCCTCAGCAAATAGTAAAGGAACTGGACATTCACAGTTTGATTTCGCATTCAAATTCACTTCAAGTGGGCAAGATTATTTAAACGATCCTACTGCATTCTCGATGTCGATGAGCTTCGTTGAACAAAAATGGGTGACCGAGAATGGGGTTGCCAAAATTAAAAGAAATTATACAGATCTCGAATACGAAATTTGAGGTCTTGAGCATTTCGACTACGATGATATTTCAGAGATCAAGAGGATCGGAGTCGACACCTACTATTGCCCCAAAGGTGACTATTCTCTTGGAGGCAGCTTTTACTCCCCACAATACAATTATATTGAGATGAAACTGAGGAAATGTGTTAGTGGGAGTTGTAAAAGCGCTACTGATCTTGAAAACTTGATTAAAGACTCCAGGTTCTCGATAGCAATTGTGAACACTGTCGTTGATTTAAAGAATTATGGAAAGCCAATTCAATACATGATTGATGACGGTCTTTTCTGGGAGCTTACTCCTGGAATCAGAAAGAAAACCGACGTCTTTGTACGTAAGAACGATGCCTCCTTCGAGGATAACTACGTACAGCTTGGGTTCCCTGAGGAAAAGGAGTTTTATCAGGTTGTTGACTCTTCAGACAGGTTCGAGGCAGAGTCTAGTAGTGGAGATCTTCTTTCTATATATTTCAGGTTTGATAAAACCTCTGATATTTATGAGAGAAAAATCTATTCCTTAGGAGAGCTTATTGGCCAAGCTGGAGGATTTTACACTGTCTTGGCCCTATTCGGTTCAATCCTTCTGTTCATTTTCTCAGAAAGACTTTTTGTAAGCTCCATTTTGAGTAGAATATACCAGATTGATAGATGGCAAGAACATGAACGATTGGATAAGAATTTGAGGTCAAAAAATCAGAAAGAAATTTCTAAGAAAAATATCCAATATCGAGAGGATGGAAGAAGTATCAAACAGCCTCTGACTGAAAGCGAGAAGTTCCATTCAAAGACCTCGGGTGATCTCAAACATATTAATTCGAATAATGTGTTGGTCCCTTCCTTGCTTCCGAATCTTGAGAAAAGTATGAGGGAGCGGCGGGTCTTCAAATACGGCTACACCGATATTTTGCATTATTTATTTTGCTGTGTTGTCTGTCGGCGTAAAAGAACTATGAGGCTCAAACCCAGGTTCAGAGACCATCTCTATTACGAAATTGGAGAAGAGAAACTTCTTGATGAACTTGATTGAGTTACTATCATCAAAGCTGTCCGGCAGTTAAAGATCCTAACCCAGGTTCTTTTTGATAAAAAGCAAAAATTTCTGATGAAATTCCAGAGAAATAATGTGATTGATAGCTCATCTTCTGGCACTTCTGACGAAGGTCAGATGAATATTGTGGATCTAATGGCAAGCAAGAACAGCAAGCATGTAGAAATAGTCAACAAAAAGATTCAGAAAGCAGTTTATAGTTTCGATGGCAAACATCTCAAAGATCTTGACAAACGAATCATTGCTGGTATAAATTAGAAATAACATCCTAGGTATCCTCAAAAGGAGACTTTCTGATTCAGATGATGACCATGATGGGACTCATAAAGATGATCTTCAATTGAAGGAGATCACATCAAATTCTTCAGCTCAGGAAGGTAATTCCTCCTTTTTAATAGGAATAGAGCATAAAGAGGACTATCAGAAATTTAAAAGAGGAGTTCGTATAATTCCACTTTTCTCAAACGCCGAGATAGGAGATACCGTCAATAAAATTTATGAGACCCAAAATGATGCTGAGGGGAAGGAACGACCCGTTCATTATTATGACAATGGTAATTAGTTTTTAACTCGTTTTATTTAGAAAGCTGAATTTCATCAGTGGATATTTTTCAGAATAATAACTCTACAGCAAAAATCTCAAGTGTTAATTCAAAATAATTTCAATAATCCTATGAAACATTGGGGTTTTGGGGTTTTGGGGTTTTGGGGTTTTGGGG